GATTAATTCCCGAAACAGGATGGGGCAACTATCTATACAACCAAGCAGTATGAATTCCCGAAACTGGACGGACTTACCAATAAAAAACGGGTCAGAGATTAATTCCCTAAACAAGACGGGAAAACTATCTATACGACCAAGCAGTATGAATTCCTGAAATAGGACGGGTTTACTAACACAAAATCAGGTCAAAGATTAATTCCGGAAACAGGACGAGGCAACTATCTATATGACCAGGCGTTATGAATTCCCGAAACAAGACAAGTTTACAAATGAAGAATAGATTGCAAATCAATTCCCGAAACAGGACGGCGCGACTATCTGCATGACCAAATAAATTCCCTCAAAGACTAAATTCTGAAAAGCATCTCCCTTCAGAGACTGAATTCTGAAAATCATCTTCTTCAGGGCCTTCATTCTAAAAAGAAATTTTCTTCGGAAATCTTCATTCCATCAGATCAAGTCGGACATAGACTCATTCAAATACTCTTATCAACAGTTACTTCAGATGACGTCTTTAAAACCATCCCCGACAATATTCTATCATCTCTTTGAATGGCATCTCTAAGCCTATTGAAGCAATACGATCAACAAACAACGTTACTTCAGGCACCAGTGAGTGCAAATTTCTGGGCACTTAAGTGTTTAATCCTCTTCCACCTTCAGATCATGAATGGAAGACATGCCAATCTAATTATTCAATATTAAGAAGATTTAACATGGGCAGCTGTTGTACCCCAAAATTTTCCCTCCCATTTTCTTCAAGGGTTTTCAGTTGCTCAAGGCTACTCAATGTTTGATCAGACAAATTCTCCTCTAAAGCAGTTGACCTACAACTAGGGTTTCACTTTTCTCAAGGAAATTTGAGCTTATAATGACTCAAGTAGATTTCATGGTTCCTCATATGTCTCAAGGAATTCTCATGCCAAATTTAAGCCTTGCATCACAAGTTTGCTCAGTCAATTGCTCAGATGACTAAAAATTAACTGTATTGGACAAAAAGTCAACTGTGGTCAACATACAGTCAAACTTCAATATTTTTGGTCAACATCAATATTTTGAAGTCACATTCATTATTTGATCAAGGGTTGATCATTATTCATCAAGAAAACTCAAGATTCATCAAAAGTCAAAAGTTATTAAATTAGGGTTTTCTTTAGGAGAAGTCAACTGAACTTTGACCAAACATAACTCTCACATGCTTCATTGTATTTTTCTCAACCAAAACTCATTTTGGAGGAAATTCAATTCTCTACAACTCTGTCTCTCTAAGATCAAGTCCAAAAAATGCTTCATTTAAGAGATATGGGCCAAAACATTATAGGTCAATTCAAAAGTCAACAAAAAGACACTTTTTGTCAAGGCAACTTACATTAAGATAAAGTCTTCAAATGAATAAATGATCAACATAGATATTGTAGGAGACCTCTTGAGTATTTCAAAAATTTCAAGATCACCTTCATATGATAAAAATTGAGAGAGTTATGATTGGTGCAAGTTGGACAATTTTGAGAAAATGCATGAAACCCAAAGTGAGTAAACTTGGAATTTTGGGCTAGTGGGCTGATCTTTCAAGGTCCAAACGTGTATTAGGCCTCATCGTGAACCTCTAAACCAATTTATACACCCCTTGGATTTTTATTCTATTTATTTTTTATTTTATTTATTTAAATTCAAAATTAAAAAAGATAAAACCAAGGCTTTCATGACAAGGTCCAAGCCCACTCTTGTTTGACCTAATTAATCACTATATATTCTCATTATTTCAGACAAGAAAGCCACAATTTTTTTTTCACAAGATCACTATTTCAAAACTTCCAAAACTCTCAAAACTAGGGCAAATCAAAAATCCTAGTTACAGCCTCTTTCCAAGCAAGCTAATCCTTCAAATCTCTTCCAGAAGTATTGTAAGGTAAGATTTGATCATCCCTGATGATCTAAGAGGCCTGAGAATCGCGTATATGCCTTGATGGTTTTATTTTTTTTGCATGAAATTCACATTGTTATTTTCTTTATGTTTTGATTCATACTAACACCACTAATGTTCTTCTGAGGTATAACAACACAAGATTGAACCATAGCATGACCCCCATAACGACCAGACAAGGGTTTGACATGTTCACATCGTTTTAAGTTGTCTTCTTCTTATCTCACAATATAGCACAATTTGGCCAAAACTAATACTTCCATTGAAATCGCAAGGCTCAGATTAGGGGGGGTAGGGTCCATGGGAATCACTAACACTTTTTATTTTTCTAGGTTGAAGAACGTGATCGCTGGAGAAGAAGACCGGAGTTAGGGCTCCGACGCTTCTCCGGCCCAATCCATTAAGTTTATTATATAATTAATTGCTTTCGTTTAATGACCGGATGAAACAGCCACCCCAGTGGCAAGGAAGCGCGCGTTAAAGCATTGGTATACTAAGGTGTGAGTTCGATCCCTGCCTTTTGATTGTTTTCATATTTTTTATGATTTTTGCAGGTTGTATGCAGCGTGTCCTCATACATCAACTGTGCACCCTCAGTCTTGCAACCCTCAGATCTGGATCTAACGCTTCCAGATGCGCAACCCACAATACACCCCCTTTTAACCATCACACTAGATCAGACGCTGACACTGATTGGGCATGGACTTCATTGTAATCCGCACCCCTCTTTTTTTCTAATTTAGACCCAATTCTTTTTTTCTCTCTTATATTTTCTTTTTTTCTTCTTTTACTCATTTTGTTATTATTTAATTAAAATACAAAAAATATTAAAAACACTTTTTTATTAAAAAAACATAATTAGTTTTAGTTTTTTTTTTTAATTTTAAAATTAATTAGATTTTAAGTTTTTTAATTATTATTTTTAATTAATTAACATTAATTAAGTTTTATTTTATTTTAATCAATATCAAAAACTATTCTTTTTACAACAAAATCTCTAAAATAAAATAAAAATTATTTTCCTCTTTCCTTTTTCTTATTCCATAGATCAAATTGTATAGGTTTCGTGAGTGTAATCTTTATTTCCCGCTTGTTTTTTTATTATCATGTAATTACTTCAGGATGTAATAGTTGTAGGTTTTAATTTCCGCATTTTATTTTTTCGCACCTTTATTTTGTATCTACCCCAAAGCATTGTAATAGTCTAGGTTTACGTTTCCACACTTTATTTTTTCGCTGCTATATTTGCTATATTACTGCTTAGTAACTAGGGTTTGTATGGAAAGATAAAAACGAACGATAGAAAACCCTAAATTCAAAGATAAATAACTGAATACAATACACTTGCACACTCGCACTTATAAGATAACCTCTCTTGTTGCCTTCAGAACAAAACGGTCATGCCCCTCGAAAGTATGGACCCTTTAGCAAAGTCCTTCGAATAAAAGATCATATTCTCTCGATGATCCTTTCGACGTTGTCTTTCGATAAATGATCTAGTCCCTTACGAAATTGCTAAAGTGTCCTTACAAGTTGGGTTCGATGACCGTATGATAACCCTACGCCTGTCCCTTAACATCAAACGATAGGACTCCCTACTAATTAATGGTACAAATAACACTATCTAAAGGAGAAGGAAAAGTACAAGAACGACCTTGAGTGGGTAGAACTGTTAATCAATTGCTCACAAACCTTTTAAAACAAAAACATTTCACACAAACACTTTCAAAGATATTTTCAAAACAATTTGTACGCATTCTTGAAGATCGATATAATAATCATTACAAAGTTCGCCTTACATTGGCAATTTTCAAAATATTTTCAAACACACAAAAAACAAATTTTCAACAGTGAGTTAAGCTATTAAGAGCCCGTAGATAACTACAAATGAAAATGGTGCTAACAGCTTCCCTTTTCATAACTTACCCCCAAACTCAAAATCTATCAAGATTTTTCCTGTTGTTTTCACCATTTCCTTATTGGATAAAAGAAAAGTCGGTGGTGACTCCTGTTATCCGCAACATTTACGATAAAACGCAAAACAAGTCAGTTCTCCCACGTATTACAATTACCATAAAAAAATTTATAATTGTCAAAATAAAATTATAATTTGATACATAAAATTGCATATTATAATTTTATCTAAATCTAAAGAATGATATAGACAAGATTGTATTCTTAAATAAATATTATACAAAAAATACGATAAAATATATTTTGTGAAAATAATATTTATAAATGAATAATATTTTATTTATTATGATTTATAAAATAAAATAAATATCATATAAAATATGATAAAATATACTCATAATACATGTTGTTTTCTCTAAAGAATTAAAGAAATATATATTGGTTGATAAGATTTTATAACATAATACAGTTTTGTTTGGTTTAGTTCAATTTACAAAATACAAATCGCAAACCAAACTGAACCGCGCAGTTCCGTTAGAAAATAATCCAAATAAATCTAAATCAAATATAATTTTTTACAATTTCAATTTAATTTAATTCGATTTTGCGATTTTCTATTAGACCGATTTTATTTTAAACACTTCAAATTGAATCCATTCTATTGTATTGGATATAAGCACTTAATTGAACAAAGAGTGAGCAATAACATATTAATATGTTTTGTTAAAAAAAATCTATTTAAAATTTCTCAAGTGAAGGATACTTAACTAAACAAAAACGATAACTTTCCGCACAAAGATAAACAATCCCTGCCCCCACAATATTATCAAAGAAGCACTTAGTTCAAATTCATTTCAATTTATTTCTTTTTATACTCTGTCACTAGTACTCTTGCTGAGTTACTAGTACCACCAAAGGAAAAGGAAAAAGATTCTCATTATCTCACTTACTTACTTACTCACTCACTCACTCATCACTTTGGTTAAGTTAAATGCAAAAAGCAGCTTAACTCAAAAAGCACTTTCAACTTCATCTATAACTTTCCCACTTCAGTTTGAGCTTACATCTATTTATTACCCTCCGTGTTATAAATCAACCCTTACTTTACTTTCTCCTACCTTTCAACTCTTTCACTTTATGCTAACCTTTCTCTCTCTAGATGGAACTGTTTCTGAGAACTGAAAGCTTCACTATGCGTTGTGGCGTTGTTGTTGTTATCTTGTTCTTTAACGCGTTTTTAGTATGCTGTGTGAGTGGAATCGGCGTAAACTGGGGTACTCAATGTACGCATCTTTTGTCACCTACTACGGTGGTGAGAATGCTGAAAGATAACGGGATTCAGAAGGTGAAGTTGTTTGATGCTGATCCGAATATCTTAGACGCGCTTAAGAAATCTGGTATTCAGGTTATGGTGGGGATTCCTAATGACATGCTTTATACACTTGCTAATAGTGTTCAAGCTGCTGAAAAATGGGTTTCCAAGAATGTTTCTGCTCATGTTTCTTCTGGAGGTGTTGACATCAGGTACTATCTTATACCCTCTCTCTATTTGGATTTTTAGGGTTTTGTTATATCCTTCTTAGCTGGCTATTACTTTGGTTTTGTAGTGTCAATAAACTTGGAATTTTAAGTTCCACATGTCCAATCCTAGGCGAGAGGGGTTTGTTAAGAGTCTGGCTTCACATGTGTTTTTAAGTGGGGCAATCCTTATTTCGTAAGCTGGCTTTGTAAGGATGAGTTGAGCTCAACCACATTTCTTAACAACATGCAAACTAAGAAATGTCGGAAATAGTTTTCTTGCTATTTCTGCTATTGATAGAACATTATGGCGAAAGTTGATTCATGTAGCCGACTCTGCATAGTGGGTTAAAACTTGGTTGTTGTTGTTGTTGTTGTTTTTGTACGTTAGTCTGATATTGGCAAAAGAAAAAACTAAGTTGAGATGTGAGATTCGAATTGAGTATATGTAGTCAAAGCCGTCTTTGAGGGCATGCAAGGCGGCGGGCTACTGCACATGGCCTAAAATTTAACTATAGTTAAATAGGGTTTCAAAATGTATGTTATGTTAAACCGTTGTTAAATAGGTCTCTATTAATTTTGTCATGGTTAAACTACGTTTAATTTACATGGGCCTCCAAAAACTTGAGACTGCTAAGTCAGTAGTGTTTTACCACATGTTTTATTTAATGATTTCTACTTGTTTATGATTTTGTCAATTTATCTGATCTCTTGTTGTCTAGCAATGTATTTTGCAGATATCAGTTTTTGATTTAATTATTCTTCTGGTTTGGTTACTTATTTTGGGTACTAGAGGGTTTTGTTATGAACTATTACGTTTTTTTGGATTGAGGAGAAGAGGGCTCCATTGAATGGAAATTACGTGTCCTTACTATATATATTTGTAGTGGAGTACGCAATGAATTGCATTAGGTTTTGGGGTTCAATGAGTGTTTTGTCATGGTCCGAAGAGTCTTTCTACCCTTTCCTCATTCTTTGTGAAGACAGTTGAATCTCTCATCTTCCGCTACCTAATATGCATGAAAGCTTCGCTTACTGACAATGTGCTTACTGACAATGTACTTCAAATGAATATTTCCTTTGCTTGTTTTTAATATCCCAATTTCTTCAACTTTCAAGTTCATCTATGTATGTAAACAAACTAAAGTTCAAATATCGGAAACTAATATCACTCTTTATTGATACAAAGTCTTACAAATACCTAGCAGAAGATGAAACGCCAGTTATATTATTGTTTGTTATTCATGTGAAATCCTTTCTCTATGTTGTGTATTTCACTGTTTCTTATGTGCATCTTCAATTGTCTATGTCTGTGTGTGTTTGTGTGCGTTCGTATATTGCTAGAGATGGAGAATATAAGAATAAGCAGTCCCCGTATAATAGACGATCAAATTTTTGTTTATTTAGCACTTAGGCTTCTCTTTCTCATAAAAATCAAGTTTATTTATTCATTTATGATCACTTAAAAATGTCGGCTGATCCACGTAGCTGAGTCCCACATAGTGGGTACAGAACACAATCACTGGTGTTGAAAACTTTTTGTCAATCATGTGCTCTGGACTGATTATATCCATTCGAAGTTCGAATTTTGTTGGAAATAGTATGTTGTTGGAACTCATAGGAACTGATCTAAAGTATTTTATTTTTCATTCACATTTATCTGTTGTGGTTTTTACAAGGTATGTTGCGGTGGGGAATGAACCATTTCTGTCAACATACAATGGCACTTTTGAAGCCACTACACTCCCAGCTTTGCAAAACATCCAGGCAGCTCTTACAAAAGCCGGTTTGAGTACTCGAGTCAAAGTTACCGTCCCATTAAACGCGGATGTGTATGAAAGCTCAACAAATAACCCATCCGACGGTGATTTCAGGTCGAATATCAACAACCTCATGCTGCAGATAGTCAAGTTCTTGAGTGACAACGGAGCTCCTTTTACCGTTAACATCTATCCTTTTATCAGTCTCTACTTGGATCCCAGCTTCCCCGTCGATTATGCTTTTTTCAATGGCTTTCAATCTGCTATAAATGACAATGGAAAGATCTACGACAACGTGTTTGATGCTAACCATGATACACTAGTATGGGCACTGCAGAAACACGGTTTCGGAAACTTGCCTATAATTGTTGGGGAAATTGGGTGGCCAACCGATGGAGACAGAAATGCAAATCTTCAAAGTGCACAACGCTTTAACCAAGGTTTTATGTCGAGGTATGTTTCCGGTAAGGGAACACCAATGAGGCCTAATCCTATAGATGCCTACTTGTTTAGCTTCATAGATGAAGATAATAAGAGCATTCAGCCCGGGAACTTCGAACGCCATTGGGGGTTGTTTTACTTAGACGGACAGCCCAAGTACCAACTCAATCTCGGAACAGGCCGGGCGAATGGATTGGTGGCAGCTAGCGGCGTCGAACATTTGGAAAAAAAGTGGTGTGTGTTGAAACCATCAGCAAACCTTAATAGTGATCAATTGGCACCAAGTGTGTCATATGCCTGTCAAAATGCTGATTGTACAAGTCTTGGGTATGGAACATCATGTGGTAATTTGGATGTGAAAGGAAACATCTCTTATGCATTTAACAGCTATTACCAAGTGAATGACCAGATGGATAGTGCATGCAAATTTCCTGGACTTTCCATGGTCACTGATAAAGATCCTTCATTTGGAACTTGCAAATTTAGAATCATGATCCAGACAGATTCTGCTGAGCTAAATGCTATGGTTGGGTCTACAACAACAGTACTCCTTGCTTTGGTTGTTTTACTGTTGTGTAATGTTTCATTTTGATTTGCTTGTTTTTTTTCTTAATTTATTATTTTTGGATGACTTATTGTGTATTACAAGTTCTCGGTATGTATGGGTTTAATCTGTGTAAAAAGCACTTGTAGCAATGGAATATGCAATGATTTGTCATGGTTCAATGATTCTGGATTGTTAAGATATGGAATTGCGAACTACACTTCTCATAATGAAAGAAAGAGACAACAAAAAATGAATAATGAAAAATTTATTATTAGTGGGGATTACTCGTTTAGACCTCATGCCTTTCTCACATACACCATTTGGATACTATTATAAGTAATTTTTATTTTTTTTATACATTTAATTATTAATATAATTGATTCATATATTTAAGAAAAGAAATTTGAAAATGCATTTGACAAAGTCAAGATTTTTATTGAGAAAGTGATTTAAGTTTAAGAAAATAAGAAAGTTTTGAAAAATAGAGAAGATTTGAAAATTGAAGAAGATGGACAAGAGATGAAAGGACTATTTTAAAGCATAAAATAAAAGTTAAGGTAGAAAATATATAACCAAACAATATGCAAACTATTGACACTAAGTCAAACTATGCATCCATTCTATTTGGATTAAGCCATACAAAGGCAAGTAATAAGTATCAGATGAAAAATTAGTGTCTCTGGTGCAAGCTCAAGATCTCAGCATCAGATGAATCACAAAAGAGTGCAAATGACTTTTCATGTATCATATAAAATTTGATACCTCAGATAAATGTTCTTGCATCAGATGAATTTTAGAGCCTCATAGTAACAACACCTGCACACAGAAAAGTTCATAGCAAACAGACAAAAACACAATCAAGGTCTTAGATGAATCAAGACTACAAGGTCCAAATGAAAGTCCATGTCAAGGTTCTATCCTAAGTCCAGAAAGTCCAAACTCCATGACGTAAAGGATAATATGTGAGTGCAACTACACTATTAGATGTTTTGTATGATGTCAAAACTCGGAAATCTAGCATTTCAGTATTGTGGACGATATCCTTATGTCTTATGGCACTCCCTTGCATTAGAGGTCTTAGGAATCATTTAAAACTGGTCTCAATCATGAAAAATTAGTTTTTGCATAAAATCAACATTTATGTGTCGACCTGAAATTTGTATGTGTCGACACATAAATTCATCATTTCTGCATTTTCTTAAAAATTTCACTATGTGTCGACACATACGATTTATAGGGCGACACATGTACTGCATTATTAAAGCCTTCAGTATTTCTGTTTTAAAACACAGGCACATACACATACGATTTTCAAGTCGACACATGTACTACATTTTTAAAGCCTGTAGCTACTGTTTTTGTGTTGACATATAGCTTTTTCAGGTCGACACATACTGTTTTTTGGGTCATTTTTTCATATTTTTTCATTCTGAAACTACCCTCTTTTACTTAAAAAGAGTTCAACTATAAATATATCAGTCATGCACCATTCATAACTTGGTGAAACCATAAAATTAACCAATTTTTCTCTTCATCTTCAACCTCCAACTTATTCATACACATTGACATTACATTGTAAAGATGTTCCATTGGGGTACCATCTAGACGGGGATTGATAGTGTCCAATTATGTATTGAGTTGAGCTTTGTAGGGGTTTTCATTCAGGAAAAATTATGGGTTTGTCATCCAAGATCATTGATTGATTTGGGGGTTTTCGTACAATACGTTCAAGAGGTAATTGCAACCAAGTGAAGTCCTTTTGGAGATAAAGAAGCAGGGGGTCTTTTGGAGATAAAGAACGCGAAGGAAGTAGCGCGACAACGGTGAATTACAATTGAAGTCTTGTGTTGCAATAGTTTGAAATTGACGGTGTATGAAAGCTTTAGAGATAAATAACACAAAGGAGTAGCAAGATCCAGATAGTCAATTTGCATCTATTATGTCATGGTCTTGTTGAAGATCAAAGAAAGAGAAGGAGTTGAAGCAACATCAAATGATTATGGTTTATAGGGTTGCTCTTGAACAGTTCTCTTGTATTCACACATTTATAAAGTAAGAAAGTATCCTAATTCCACATTAGAATTGGGTGCAGACGTACCCACATGCGAGGACGAAAGTGGTGAACTGTGTAGACAAATCTTTGTGTCTCTTTTATTTTATCGCTTTTACTTGCTTTAATATTCTTTAATAAATTTGTCAAATAATATTGCATTATCAATTGAATTGTAAGTAATTTTTCAAACTATTTTTTTATTTACATCAAGTGTTGATATTGCTCATAATCACTTTTAATTATAAGTTCTTTTATGTATCAAGACAAATTAAAGGAAAATTCTGAAAATTCACTTGAACATCAAGTATTTGACAATTTTTTTAGCTTATTTAACTCAATGAAAAATTACAATGTTCTATCAATTACTCTCATTTACTCTCTATGTGCAATTTGTTGAATGCGTTGTTTGATTGATCAATTCGTATAGAATTTTTTTTATTGTTAAAGTTTAAATTGTTTTGTTGATTATCTTATAATCACTTTGATTGTAAGTGTTTTTTCATATCAACTAAGCTCAGAGAAAATTATGAAAAATTGATTGCGCATAACATGTTCGATAAAGTATCGAGTTATGTTTTTAATATGATTTCATTGGAAATATGAAACCGTTGTGTTTGATATTAAACTATTAATAGATATATTATTATGTTGATTGATTTTATCATTATCTTAATTTCATATGGCTTATGCATATTCGAGTTTCCAATAACTAGGTTCATTTAGACTACTATTTTGATCTAGGCTAATAAACCTTCCGCTCAATATTGTTTTTCAAATAAGTTTTTAAGTAACCATTTTGAAAAGTCAATTTTAATATGGGCATCTATTCACCTTCCTCTAGATGAGTTGTCATAGTCTAACAAGTCATACCAGAGCTCTAGTTTATTCTGTGCTTCGAAACTCTTAGTAGAAAATGACGTACGAACCTAAAAGAGATCTCAAAACAGCCCTAAATTTTTTTTGGAAGAAAACTATAGTTATTGGAAAGTTTGTATGCACATTCATGTTAATTTATATGACAATGATATGTGTGATACAGTGGGATAACTGACTTGGGATTTTGCATTTGTTTTCGCACTTGTTCGGTTTAGCAAGAGTCGCCACCGACTTTTTATTTTATCCTAAGGAAAGGCCAAAAAGCACAGGAAAGACCTTTGAGATGTTTTCTTGGGTTCGGGGGGTAGATTATGAAAAGGGAAGGTGCTAGCACCCTTTTCATCCATGGTTATCCATGGGCTCTTAGTTACTTGTTTTAGATCACTTGCCTTTGCTTTTCACTTGTTTGAAATGGTGCTTTATGTGTGTGGTTTTGAAAATGTTTTGAAAAAGATGCCTTGTCTAGGCAACCTTTGTAATGATCTTTGTTTGAATATATACAAAGGTGTGTGTCTTTTTTGAAAAGATAATTCAATGTTTTGAAAGTTGTTTTTGAAAGTTGTTTTTGAAGTTGTATTGTGGAGTGTGTTTTGAAAAATGGCAAGGATGTTTTGCAAGATTTTTGATCAAGTAACTAAGAGTTTGTCTACCCTATTTTACTCAAAGATTTTTCTTATGTTTTTAACCCTTTTAACAGTGTTGTTTCACCATTGTGTTTGATGAACAACCTTGCTTTAGGATGTTAAACAGGACAGGTGTGGGTCATCGTATACAATCATTGAAAGCAACTTTGTGAGACGCTATAGCAATTTTATAAGGGACGAGATCGTTTTATCGAAGGCAACATCGAGGGTCATCGCGGGACTATGATCTTTGTTTATCGAAGGGACATTTGCTAGAGTGTCTCATACTCGAGGGACATGATTGCATTTTCCGAGGCAACAAGCGAGGTTACCCTAGAGGTGCAAGTGTGAATTGTGTATTGATTTTCATGCATTTATTCTTGTATTAGGTCATCTAACGATTGATTTTGAATCTTCGCATACAAACCCTAATTACTATACAATATATGGAAAGCGATAAATTGCGGGAATTTAAAGTCTAAGTTATTACAAGTAAGTATCTGGGGATGGGGGTACAAATGTTTACAAATGGGGATGAGTCTTATCAGAATAATAATGTCCAAGTATTATGTTACAACCAAATCGAATTGACGCATTCTCAATGTAAAAATATAACAAGATATAAGATGATGAAAATTAAAGAGATATGAGATGTGTATATTTATTTACAAATGAATAAAAATTGTAACTTAAAAAGATTAAGTATTTATTTATTTTTTTTGTATTTCTGTTAATTATATAAACAAGAGTTTTAAAGAAAAGAAAAATTACTTTAAGTTAAAATTTTATTGTATATGTATTTTAAGTGTAATAATTGTTTTAAGAAAAATTATTAATAAAATTTAATATGTTCTCTTTATTTAACATAAGAAAAAAAAAAGAATTTAGATTATAGAAAGTGAAAGCAAAGTAATAAAAAAAGTATTGGTTTTTAAAACATTAAAAGAAAATAAGTGGGCTTTGGGAATATTTTTGATGGCCCAAATAAAAAGGATAAAGAAGCAACAATTTAAGCAAAAGAGGAAAGGGGGGGGGGGGGTGTAGGCGCCAGAAACGTGTTTGGGCTTTGTGTTTTGTTGGGCGAAGGCCCAGTTGCAGGGTTGTACAACATTTGTTTAGGGTTGTTTCATTTGTTGGGAAATTAGGGTTTACAGTTGTTAACGGCGTTGCTCCTTCTCTCGTCTTCTTCGTCTCTCTTCTCATTCTCAGCCATGAATTTTTGATTACTCCTTCAACCTTTCAGTCGCCAGAGCGCTACCTCCACCCATCTTCTCTCCACGACGGCATGGGGCAGTGGTTCGAAAGGTATACTTTTATCTTGTGCGTTTTTTACAGTTGAGGTTTGTGATTCTCTTGAACATTTATGTTTTTTGCAATGTTTGATCTTTGACATTTCATGCATGAGGTATAGGAAAAGAAAACAATACCTTTGGGGTTTTGTTTCTGGAGAGTGGATGGTAGAGAGATAGCTTGGAACGGCGGCGCTCTAGGTG